AAATAACAAAAGTTATCAAAAATACAAAAGGTTTCTTTTTAAGATGCACAATTTTAAATCAAATACCAAATTCAAATATTATATTTAAAGTTTTTTTAATGCTTTTAGTAGATATATATTAGCTATTAAAGAATTTGCAATTATTTGGACACCCTGTACAATATAATTTTATAATATGATTGTTTTAATGCTCTGTATCACAGTAGACATATGTAATGAACTAAATATAATGCAACCATCTCTTTTAAAGTCAAATACATTTATTAATTTGTATTGCAGGTTAACGCAGTTTATGTCGCTCACCTATCTTCGTCCAGAAATGTCACTAAAGTCTGGGAGACCGTGTATGACATTTATTTTATAGTTTTACTTTACAGAATATGTTTTTATCGTAATAAAAAAATAATTTCACAATTACACTCTTTTATTTTACATTTTTGCAAGACGGAAAAGTAAAATACAGCCCTGCTCAATTTTAGCGTCCACCTGCTTCTGTTTACATCAGGCGTAAATTAAATTTGAATAGACTTTACAATTGCTACGTATAGAAAGTACCTTGTATCATTTTGTGACAAATTACAAAGAAAGGTAACAAATATTTTATAAAATATAGAGTATATCGATACCCTTTTGCCAGACTATCATAAGTGCCATTTGAACAAATGTCGCTTACGTTAGACTGGCAAAAAGGTATCGATATGTTATGTTTATTTTAATAGAAACCGTGGAAACGAAACAAACACACACATACACTCACACAAATGTATAAGGCCCGAGTCGAGTAAGTTCCCATCCTGTAAACTGGATCGAAACCTGCTAGACCCATTCCGTACACCCCCCTGCTAACTCCTCTTAGGGTCATCAAGATCAATAGATTTATATGCTATGCCTTCTAAAAGGGAATGAAGGATGACATACTATCATCATTTAAACAGGACGTTGCTGAAGGCTTACCCCTGTTATGTCGTCTGTTTGTATATCTTGTGTATGTGCATTCCTGTTGTGTCCCCAGTCATATAAAAGTTTTCCTAGTCTCCTAATTTGGTGACTAGTTGGACCTTCTCCAACTAGTCGTCTAATCTATTCTATAAACAAAGCAAATAATAATATTAATAATAAGAACTGTAAAACTTCTAACGAAAAATATAAAGCTGAGTACGACTACAACCATTCTGCACTGGATTTGACTTGTCTCTCTTTGAAATATCATCAAATGATATTGCAAAATAAAACCGAGTATACAGATCAATAACATAACGTAACTAATATTTGTACACACATTCAAATAGTTCATGATTATTAATCAAGAAAATAATTTAATATATTCTATTCAAATTAATTCGATTAATGAAGTCGTTGATACTGCTAATATAACAAATAAAATTAATTTAAATGAAAAACTCCTAAATGTATTTCTAGAAAGTTATAAAATTAATTATTGTGATATAATAGTTTTGACTGAATGTTTCCAATTAGAATCTATTTCTTAATTTAACCTAGATGGCTTCACCACCCACTATAACAATAGTAACATTAACAGAAATGATGGTGTTGTAATTTTGGTCAGGTCAAATCTAAATGCAGAATTAAATATACTTAAACTGGAATATTCTGATATTTGTGTCACTAAAATAAATCTAAAAGTCAATCATCAGACCATTGGAATTACAGGTGTATACAGGTCTCCTCAAACCTCTGCACACACATTTATAAGGGATTTTCATACCAAATCACCTAAATAGAAATATTGAAATATTCATAGGGGACATTAATATTGATCTCCTAAATGTAACCAATCAAGTAACTACTGATTACCAAGCAACTTTTTACTCCCATGGTTTCATGTCTTACATAAACACTATTACGAGGCCACAAAGTAAAGCATGCTTGGATCATATATTCTTAAAAAACTATATTAAGACTGAAAATCTATCGGTGAACTCTTATGTAATCAGCTATGATATGACTGATCATGATCCTATTATGATAAATATCTCACAATCTGCCAAAAACTACACAAGTTCCTACAATACATATAAAACTATAACTAAAATCGATACTGATAAATTAAAACAAAAATTCGAAACAGTAAACTGGGAAAGTGTTTGCAATGAAAATAATCCAGAAATTGCAACACAACTTTTTTATGACACGTATCTCAATATCATTGAAACATGTCAAACCACTCAAAATATTAAAATTAAAATCCATAAAAAAATAAAGCCATGGATAATGAATGGTTTAATTAATTCTATTAAAACTAGGGATAAACTTAAAAAAGATCTACAAAAAAACTATACTATTAACAAACAAACTCACTATAAAACATTTAGAAATAATTTAAACAAACTAATATCAAAAAATAAAAATTACTATTATAACAATAAAATAAACCAAAACAAAAATGATCTGAAAAAAGCAATTAATCTCTGAAGCAACTAATGAAAATCATAAAAAAATAATACAAATTTACAGATTGTTAACCAACATAATGAGGAATTTGAAAATGATAATGAAATGGCGAATTACTGCAATAACTACTTTTCGACTATTGGCACTAATATGTTCACAAATATCCCTGAATGTAATGTGGATTTTCTTGTGTCACGTAAAAATCAATGTTTCTGAAACCGATATGCGAGAACGATATTATAAAACACATAAATAGTTTAAAAAACAATAGTGCACCGGGATTTTATTGTATAACAGTAAAACATCTGAAACTACTACATCCGTATTTACTGGAACCTTTAATGCATATAATTAATTGTATTTTTAATACAGGAATCGTACCTAAACAATTTAAAACTTCAATTATAACACCTATTTATAAAGCTGGTAATCCAAAATTAATAACTAACTATAGACCTATTAGTTTAATTAGTAATGTGGCCAAAATATTTGAGAAATGTGTGAAAAACTAATGACTTACTTCCCAAGCACCAATATGGCTTTACTGAGGGTCTTAACTCAGGAGATGCTATGCATGAATTGACTTCATATGTTACTGATGAAATGAATACTGGTAACAAGTGTATAGCCATATTTCTAGGTCAGAGACAATGTGAGTAACCCTGAAAATATACAAATCGGAGTGCCTCAAGGGACTGTTCTGGGACCTATAATATTTAATTTATACATTAAGAGCTTAACTCAGATTGATATTCAAGGTAAAGTTGTAACATATGCTGATGATACAGTGTTTAGTCTTCAGTGATAAAAATTGGGAAGCCATCAAGACACATGCTATAGCTGGAATGGAACATGTCAAAAACTGGCTGGATGTTTTTAAATTGTCTTTGAATGTTAACAAAACAAATTACATTGCTTTTTCAAAGACAGTGGCTGATCGACCTCAATTTAGAAGTTTAACATGTCAAAATTTAGACATACAGGAAACAGAAACATCCATATATTTAGGTATAATTATAGACCAGCACTTAAAATGGGACTGCCATATAATATATATAGCAAAAAAACTTGGATTTCTGAATTATAAATTTTATCTTCTAAAACAATTTCTCAACCAGGATCTACTAATAACATTATACTACAGTCTAGTAGAATCTATACTACGATATGGAAACTTAGTATTGGGAGGCCTGTATGGAACTACATTAAATCAGTTAAATGTTATTCAAAACAAAATCTTGAAGTTAATATATGAAAGTGATAGATTGTGTCCCACCATAACTTTATATAATGAAAAATTTAGCAATGTTAGATGTTTATATATATTCACGCAGTGTGTTGTTATATACAAAAAAATTAATTTTTAAAAAACCCTTTAGAACATACACATAACACTAGAACTTCATCAAACATGTGCATTAAAGTACCAAAACCAAATAGTGAGTTTTTTAAAAACAGTGTAAATTATCTAGGGCCAAAGTTCTATAATGCTCTACCTCTTCATATAAAATTATTAAACAAATACGGACTTAATATTTGACGGACATGGATTTTTTTAAATAGTTTTTTTTTTCTGTTTCTTGCATAAATTGTTCAAGTTTTATCTTTTATTAAAAAAAAATGTTTTTTTTTGTTCTTTATTTCCTTTATAATTCATTTAATATTTATTTTCCAATGCATCCCGATTTAAAATTCTGCCCTTTTGTGATTCAATTTTTGTCTTCGTTTAAAAGACTCTACAATCCTCTAATAGCCACTAGAGTGGCTATTAGAGGTAGATGTATGTAGGAAATAGCCAATCATTTCAATAGTCCTTTGCCAATACTACATGTGCAGAGATTTTTTACTCAGCATACATTTTACTTTTCTAGTAGGTGGGAACTTAAAGCTGTCCAGACTTTCATCTACCTACTTAATGAACAAAAGTAGCTGTAAAAATGGATCTCTGTTCCAATTCACCTAAAATAATTATAGCCATTTTGTAATATATTATTAAACACACACATTATACAGTGGTTGTCTTAATAAATTGGAAATTACTTACCTCTAGAAAGAAACGTGTACAAAAACGGTTTGGTTCCAGAAATTGCTTCATGTAAAAAATAATATGGGAAAATAAAAATTCCTCCCCCAAAGAAAATTAATTAAACAACAAAATCAGACTCAGAAATAAACGGGGCCCAAATTAAATTAATTTTAATAAAATGCACATGTTCATAACAACATTCATAACATTGTCAGTTCTAATCGATACGTCGACGTCAAAAAACCAGCAACATCAGCGACCTCTAAGATTGGTGTTCATTTTATGGGAGAGAGATAAATATATGTTAAGATCAATGTAAAAGAGAAAGAAAAGTCATATATGTAATTTAAATGGACACAAATTTTCCTATTAAGTTACACATCTCTGTTGTCTCTGTCCACAACCACATGTGTCTTTGGTTGCAATTAGCTATTAAACCATGAATTACTTACACCCCTAAATTATACATATATACTTTGTTAAAAAAAAATATAATCTATATCCCAGCATAGATACTCATGAGTGTACTTTTTGCTTTATTTGTAACCTTCTATTCACTTACTTTATGGAGTAACTAGCATCTTTGTCTTCAATTTTTCCTTTATTGGTTCGGTATGGGAAACAAAAGACTTTGTTGCCTTTTTCCAACGTTTCAACCTTTTCCTGGAATTGCTGAAGACAGTCAAGAAAAGCTACCATTCCACTATCAAATTTGGTGTCCCACAGAAATTTAAACCCACCTGAACCATATAAGGGAAGTTCTTTATCTTCTTCGAGAGACTAAAAAGTAATTTAATTTATTGAAAAAATAATACTTATTTGTAGTGCAAACTCTATATTATTACCAGAATTGTAAGTTTCATTTTTTTTTTAATACATACCACTATGTGTGAATGGTTACCAAATGGTACCAATCTAAATCTTTCAAATGTAAGATTAATCTTTCTGGCCAAAGAAGAAAGTAGCAAAGCTGTCTGGCCCCAAGCTGCATTTATCTCTGACCAATCCACTGGAGCTGAAGGTAAACGACCCAAGCGAAAATTGTTAATCGTTCCAAAATGGCCTTTATGCCATATGTGAAATGTAGCATTGAAAACATTAGTTCTTTGAAGTTTATCCAATTGAACTGTAACATAATTCATCTGGCATTCTAGGCTAGAAAAAAAAAAATTGAAAATGAAATGCAGATTCGCTAAGGAAAATGGTATGGTAAAAACATTTGTTTACCTCCTGACCTCTTCCTCGAGAATCAAAAAGTCTTTTTTATGTCTAGTATACTCTTTCCAATATCGATCTTCTTCTTTTGATATTTTCTTAGCAACAACTTCTTGATCTTCGATAGCCATTTGTGTTTCCTCTTCTTCTTTTTCTAGTGCATTCAACTCATCCAATAATCTCACTTCTTCTGCTTTCAAATCATTCAATTCTTTCTCTAAATCGGATAATCTTGGTTCATCTTTATCACTTTGCAACCTATGTTAGGAAATATAAATACAAAATCAATTGGTTTTACCATGCTCGCAGAAGTGAAAGCTGGTATTTCATAGGTTCTTATAAATTTATAAATGTGGATGAAAACAAAATAGGATATTCTTTAATAATCCACTAACAAGATATTTTCAAGAATGTACTTTATCCTAGCATTACTAAATAAATAATAGAAACCAAGTTCATAAAATAATCTGTAACTGTAAGATGGGGATGGTGGGTTGCCCCACAGCACTTAGGACTCACTAGGTCCATTCTTCACATAAAATGATTCTAAATAGTAAGAAGGTTAAAATTAACTGAGACATATATAAAAAAATATAAAGTTGGTAAACAAAATAAATCCTCAAAAAAATATGTTTTGAAGTAAATAGGTTTCAGTAAATAATTATTTTACTAAAGATACCTATTAGAAATAAATAATAACCATACATTTTATAATATGTGCTATAATCATCATAATCTTCTTGTGTGATTTTTAGCTGTTGGTCCAAAATTTCTATAAGATTATCAGTACATTCATCACATAGGGGATGATCAATATAAGAATGGCCAGAAAGAGTATCAAACAATGTAGCCTGAACCTAAAAAAAAAAATCCAGTTTATAATAATGAGGTTACTATTTAAACAACTTTATTAAAATTTAATTTAAAACACCCAATAGCATATATGAAGATACAAGTGGATGAAGGGCCTATGTAGCAAAATCATTTTTACGAGATATTTGTGTTAAACTTTATTATTTGCCAGTTATTCCCTAGTATATGGGTTCTTTATCCACTGACAACTTCTATATTTGATGATATATTGTCACAGGAGACATTTTAAACAAATTTTAGGTATATAATCCCTTCATTCACAAAAAAACACCATTTAAAAAAAATGTTACATAGGCCCTTCATCCACTTGTATCTTCATATATCTTTTAGTTGTCTCAAAAATAATTTAAAGGGTGTCTAATGGAGGCCAGATGTGAGTCAGATCAAGCACTTCACATTGAGTTATAGACTGAATCAATGGACTGTACAATTCAAATCTCACAAAAATCGTAGCGTGTAGGGCCTAGGGCCGTTATAAGGCCCATATTTATAAACAGATCTCAGTTGAGTCGGACTCGGCCGAGTCATCCTTAAACGAAATTCAAACTTCGGTTATATAACTTCTCTAGAGTTCCAGTGTAGCACTGAAATGTATAAATGGACATTAACAAATCCATAACTATTAAGTACATTTAAGAATGTTATTACCCATCTCTAAATTCACGTGAAATAACTGGACTTCGATTTTAGTTCTTCTCACCTGAGATCTGTTTATAAATAGATAAATACGGGCCTAAGTAATATGCTTTTCAAGTATTTTAATCCAAATAATTCTCCAAATAAATAAAGCAAGGATATTATCCCAGAATATTAACCATAGTGAATGAGAAAACTAATAATAATTCCATATAGTAGTACCCAAAAAGATATTTACACCATTTATATCTACTTATGGTATGTTAGAAATATTTATAATTTTTTTAATAACATTGATTGATGAAACAATAATAATGTTTTAAGATTTGTTACCTTAAACTGATGACTGAGTAGATCTACTTCATTTTCATCAGATATTAACATGAATCCATTTGCCCCATTGCCAGAGTCTGATAATCTGCATGGAGGTACATAGTGGTCAAAACTAGTTGCTTGTGATTCCAAATCAACTTCTGGATTTGAATAGATGGGCACTACGAAATAATAACTTATAATGAGAGTAAAAACAAAAGGAAAGACTCACAATTCAACTCTGCAGAAGTATGTTCACTGAATGAATTTAATGATTCGTCTAAACGTAATGATTGCGAACATCTTTGGCATGCAAAAGATACAAATAGTTTGTCTTCTGCCATTTTACTGATTTAGTTCATCTTGCTTCATTTTATTTTACAGCACAATCCATTCCCCAAACTCAAAACAATCTTTTTATCACTGGATTTTTTTGTTGACAGCGAGTGTCAGCAGTGACATGACATGACATTTAACATATGTTTGTTTTACATTTTTTTATGTCATGTTCTTATTTCTTATAAAAGGTAAATATATTTAAAAAAATATATAATGTAAAGATCCTTTTTATCTTTTTATTTCAAAAGCCTAGTAAAAATAGATTCATAAAAAAATTATAAAATTGAAGTTTTTAATTACAAATTTATTTTGTAATATCGAGGCGTACCATGGTCGAGACCATAATTAGAAGAAAATCGTATTAGGTTATGTTTTGATATTTTGACTTTGACGTATACTTTACAATTTGGCTATTTGACATCTTACATAATTTAAAAGAATGGCCAAAGAAACAAAACGATACGAGTATTTCGATACTCCTGATGGCCAGGATGTCGACAAAAAGTTATTGTGTGTCATGAAACCAGCAACTTTAACTGCTTTGGGATTGGGAACTTTTGATGTTCTAGCATGGTCTCATCCAAAAAGCTACTTGTCAACTTTAGGACGTTATGCATATGTAGGATTCCCCGTTATAGGCGCAAGTGCTACATTTGTTATGGTAACAAATTCTGCAGCAAGTTTACGCAAGAAGGATGATTTGTGGAATTGGTTTATTGGGGGCTTTGCATCAGGTAAATAACTAATCCCCTACCTAGCTATCAAAGATGCTGGGTTCATAAAAATAGGAATGTAACTCTATATGAAATAGTTTTACCCTTTTTTAATTAGGAACATATATGCATTAAATTTCTTTTTAGGTACTATTATGGGAGCTTGGACCAAAAGAACTATCATAGGATTTAATTGTGGAATGTTTTTTGGAATTTTGGGTGTATGTAGAAAAATAGCTGCTGATAATGGTTGGTCAGTCACACCACCAGATGATGTTCCTAGGATGAATCAAGGTGTATGGGATTTTGATTTTTCACTTACAAAGGATAGACCAGGAAACTGGGCTCGAAGTAGAGCTGAATAATAAACTTTAAATAAATAGTTTAGTGTGATAAATATTGTTTGCTCTATAAGTTACAACATTTTTGAAGAACAGTTCAATAATTATGTGTTTACAAATTATAACAAAGAAATCCCAAAAGTGTTTTACTAGTTAATCATTTGATGAAATAAAACATTTCTAAAAGGTAGCAATGATGTACCTATATTGTCTAAGAAGATATTAATGTAGCAGTTAATAAATAGGTCTTTTCCTTTGCGTTGAAAGAGTAGCACTGAGCTACACCACTTCTGAAAATATCATTCCATTTATACAAATTGTATGGATGGAACGATATTTTCAGAAGTGACGTATCTCAGTGCTACATTTTCGATGCAAAGGAAAATACCTAATTTGTATAAATGTAACAGTATTTTCAGAAGTGGTTGCTACACTTTCAATGCAAAGGAAATGACCTAATAGTAAAGTCTAAACAAATTGGCAATGCATTATATTTATAATGTATAAAAAATATCGACATGTTCGTTAAAACATGAAAATTATTTCATTGCCATTTTTAACCTTAAGACAAAAATGTACATACCTATCAACTTTTTTATTGTAAATTATATTTTTTGTTATCCAGTAAATTAAGTACTAAGTAATTATAGCTAAATTAGGTAGGTATACCTATAATTAAGTAATTTAATAATTAATAGTTCATTACTAACACCCAATTGCAAGAACATTTGTTATATATCCAAATAATAGCTAATAATCTCATAACTTTATCAGAAGTGTTCAAATATATTTTTTAAATGTACATTCATTCCTCTATCTGATATACAGATTCAGAAAGAAAATATGTATACCTAGTAAATATACCAAAGAGTAAACAGGCAGTAGCAATACAGATAACTAAGAGAGACACACTACTGTTAAATAACTGTCAATTACTACAATATATTAGCTGTGAAATTGTAATTCATTCTGTCTTAGATCAAATATGATGTTCTCTTCTGCTGTCATAGGTGTATACTGAATATATTTTATTTCTGAGCTTAAGGCTTTCTGCATTACAATGACAACAGCCCAAGTTTATACTAAGAAGTTTGCAGGTTAGGGGTTCCAATTTACTTGCGATGCCCAATCATAAAAGATGCCATATCCTCTATTTGTTTTCATACTACATACAACTTTCTAGCAAAGACATCTAGATTACGAAGGTGTTGTGGCAGTCTAGCAGAAGAATTGATCTGTCAGAAATTAAAACGTTAACCTTATCCTGAAGCAACTTTGCAACTTGACATTATGTTGGTTGTACCGCATTATTATTAATACTAATCTTAATCCTTCTGTACAATAATTATTTATTTAAAGTTAGAATACAATCTAATAGTATTCTGCAGCGCGTACCCAATATTTTTTACGATTTGGATTTTGGCTGCAAAAATAAAAGGACTATGAATCACTTACAAAACTGCTTTTCATTAGTCCTGCAATTTAGTCAAAATAACTTCCAAAATTGAGAAAAAGCACTAAATAAATCCCTATGCCGACCATAATAACTGCGACTTAATTATTACAAAAATGAGAATGAGTGAAATATATTTATTGATTTATAATCAATTTAGGAATAATTCAAGGTAATAATCAAAACCGCTTAGTAGAAATTTACTAAAACTTTTTTGCAAAGTGTTTTGTCAAACTCAACTCCATAAGGCATAAGTTGTGGTTTCTTCAAATTTTGCTGCAAACCAGCTGAATAAATTATTCATCCTGTACCTAGTCATAGTCAGAAAGAGGCTGACGTTAAATTAAGAAAACAAATTAACAACGTCGTTATACTACGACAGTAGTATGTGACACCATTATTATTTGATGACACCGATGATGGGTAAAAAAAATTTCATATCTATCCTCCATGTCAATCTTTTTGGAAGCCTGTCCTGTAACATGTATAGCATATTTATTTTAATCAAGAAACGGACTCGACCGATTGAAACGAAAGCTGTGTTGCCAGATGCGACTATTTTCTGTCTATTCGAAGAAATTAATTTTGGCCACAATGAATATAACTTTGATTTTTAATAAACTGACGGCAAGCTCTAGCATGAAAAATATATGTGTATATACACTTATCTAAATGTCCCGACACTTTGACAACAACATATTTCGATGTCCCGACATCCTAGAAGTTCCATCCCGATTGTGTACGATCGTCGTTAGTGCATATAAAAATAAATAAATAAAAATGTAAATAAAAAAATAGAAGTACATAGAAATAAGATATAAATAGAAGTAAAAAATAAATAGAAATAAATAAATAAATTACAGCTCACAAGGCATGAAAAATATGAAGAGTGAAATAATAAACGACATATATCTCGATATCCGCCCGACACATCGACGCCTTATAGTCTCCACTTGAAATACCATTCAGACTGTTTTACTTTTATCGTGTGATAGGTAATAGTCACTTTTTTATTACCTATTGTACACATTTTAACTACACTTATAAATTCATTGGAAATATAGTGAAGGGAAAATATTCAGTTTAGCTCTCTCTCATTGACATTTTTTAACACACATAAATATTAAGTAATTTACTGAAATTTAGACTTCCAATTTAGAAATAGACACCGAGTTAAAAAAATTATGCATCTATACCTAGTGTTTAAATTTATTAACACATCTTTCAATTTAAACATAACATTTTGCAGACCGGCTCTGTGTAAAATAGCCATCTGAGATCAAACCCACGCATTTAAAAAATATATATAACTTCGATATTCTTTCATTAAAATACATATAAGTGCATTAATGGTTTTATTTATCTGCTCAATTATTTAACCATAAAAGTGAATAATTATTAACGGTTTTAGCAAGTTCGCTTATTGTTATGAACTCAAGCGACCTTTTTTTGGTTCTTTTCGAAAATTCGGACATGGTCCGGTCACAATTAATCCGGATTATTTCGACGCTCTACATATATACTGGGGCTCTACACTGTAAATAGGTACATATGTACATACCAGATGGAAAAGAACGATCTGCCCATCAGCTTTTGGTATTGGTATCACATATTAAAATTCTAAATTTCCTTGGAGAAATAGAATTGGAGGTGTCGAGACAACATATCCTTTACGTTAGAAAGGGACAGGAAAAGTAAATAATCTGTGAGGGACACACACAATAGATATTTTTTGTACAAGTGTATTTATAAACACTCAATACTACTATTACTATTTATATTTAATTTTACAAAACTAAATTATTGCAGAAGTTATTTGAGTTATCAAATTTTATTATTTAAATTGCTTGAGTACTTAGTTAAACCGTTTTCGTTTTTATAAAATCAACGGCAAATAAAATTATTCTATAAAATATTTTTCCTTCTTGAGAATTTTCAACTGTATATCTGGCAACACCGCATGGAATACATGAGCCAATAAACTAAGGGAAGTATTTTCGTATTTTGAAGCTTTAGCTTTTGCCAGGATTTTGTTTTTAAAATAAACAGTTGCGAGTTGCGAATCAATGGCGATTTAGTGAAGATACAGGTAGAGAACGAACGAAAATGACGGACCGATCTAAAAGTTTAAGTTATGAAAACGCGGGCTACATATCGGGAAAAATGGTGAACGATTTCAGTCCGAAAAAAACTTTGATTGTTTTGGTTATAGTGGTGGGATGCTTTGCAGTTTTATGGCCCAAAGTTTTTTATCCAATGTTAGTGGGATCCGTAAATAACAAGATCAAACCTAGCCCTATTGATAGGACCCAAGGTAAGGGCATTGCTGCTTGTCAAAATTTAAGCAAATGTACCTACCTACTAAGAGTAGCAGTCTTATTTTCTAGATATTTAGATATTTCTAATACCCTATTAGGTATATTTTGTTTGGAGATAAGTACAGTGTAACTTGTAACTTTGGTCATGTCATAGTCATTGTATATACTATGTGTATTGCTACTACTGGCACTGGCTCTGCTCTGTCTAAAAGCAAAAGCTAAAATTGCCTGGTATGAAAATAATAAATAATATATTTCAGGTTCGGCCTAGCCACTTTGATTGCATAACGAAATTGTTGACATAGGTATATTGAATAATGACAAAGATTAATTTAATGGAATCAAATTCAAAACATATAAACCATTAATTAAATTAAAACTGATCAGAATTGAACATATTTCTTAATTAACTCGTTTAGTATAAGTACATATCTACTTATTATTATGTAGGTACTTGTAAACATTTTTGTTTTAATTTTGACATATAAAGTGACATCTTTTGTAATCGCAGCAAGTGACAAAACGATCTACTTTATGCAGCCAGTTATATAAAGTTGAACATTATGAAACTGGTTACAAAAATTTCATTATGTCACCAGTGGAAATAAAACAAATAAAAATAACCACTTTTTTTGGTTTCAAACTCAATTTAAAGGTTATATCGAAGGAATAAAGGTTGGCTTTATAAAAATAGAGTTTTTTAATGAACTTACAGCCCAGTAATAATTCTGTTTCAGTTCCTATTTACCACTCTTACTCAATACGTGGCAAAATAACTCACTTTCTTAAAAACTAACATAAAACATACAATATTATTATAATTCTTTATGTGAGCTAAAACACATAATTGATTACACAGGCCTGTGATTAAATACTTTATAAAAATGTAAATTGAATTTTTCAACTGGTATTGGGTATTTAAGTTATTCTGATTTTAAAACTGTTTTCAGTTCACATACAGTTTTTATGCAAAATTGTACAACAATGTAAAAAAATTAAGAATTTATATACATATAATTATTAGAATAACCAAGAAAAATAAAAAAATCATAAAATCATGGAAATAATAATAAAATAACATAGCTACATTAGTCTACCTTCTTGGAAAATCTTTCTCTTTTTCCAGTAAAGCTTTTTTTAATTTAGCTTCAGAAAGACCCGGGAACGATTCACACAAGAACCTACTTAAAACAACCACCATTTTTGTCTAAAGTTTTGACAAATTGTTTCATCAGTTCCAATTTTATGTGAAGACTAAAGGGGTATCTCTACTTATGTAACATGTGGAGGGTGGGTTGCCCCACGGCACTTAGGCCTAGACCTATTTTGCATCCTTCTAAGATGTTAGGCATTTCCTAGTTCGTGAGCCAGCCTACAGATTTAATGTAGTTGACAACGTCGCCAAGAGGTGTTTCTCTTATATTTGCCGGTGTTAGCAGATATTCGCTGAACACAAATCTTCTAATACATGAGAGCATCGATCAAGAGTAGAGGATATGCTCGATGGTCTCATCTTCTTGTTCACACCCCCTGAAGAGTGCGGATTCTGATAGCCCCATGATATGGAGATGCTTCCATACTTGGCAATACCAGTAGGAATGCCTGTGACTAGGTGCAGATTGTATAGTCATAGTCAATATTTGTTTGCTGCAGTGTTGTCAGGATAACTTAAAAGGGAATGTTCTTTAATTAGGTATGTAACTACCGATTTTGTCAGGCCAATAGAAGGGCCAAGTCCATAAAGTATTTGGTTGGCTGCCTTCTTGGCCAGTGATGAATCAGTAAGACGGTTACCTTTCGATGGGGTGTGACTTTTGATCCTTCTTAAGTTGACCACATTCTAGTACTATACCTTAAGTAAATTCATGAGTAGTGCTTGTCTGCTATCTATTTATTAAAACCCCATTACAAAGCAAAACACATATAAATGATACAGATAATTGTAAATTAAAAAATACAAGTAAGAGAAAAAAAAAGTTAAAATTAAGTCAAATAAGTTTTAGATTAATAAATGCATTTTAAGTAGTGTAAATCCGTCTGTAATGTTTCATTTTTACTCCAGTGTGTTCGTACAGATTGCCTTAAATTTATTAAAAGAAATGCCTGTAACCTCAAGATTCAATTGATTTCTTACCCTCAATGTTCTTTCAATAGGTAAATGCATGCCATAGGTTGTATTGTGAGATAGAACATGGAACATATTTAATTGCCTAAGGACTCTATTAGCAATATTAAAAGAAATAATTTCTAAGAGTTCCGGGCATAAGACTAGACCATTTAATAATCTATACAGGGTGTACCAATAAAAACTCCCAGCCGGATATTTTGGTAATAGAGATATTTTAATTCAGTAAAAGCCAGTTCACAGTTCAGTTTTAGATATAAATTGATTTTAAATAGGTCAATATGTAGATGGCGCTGCGCTCAATAATTTTATCCGATGGGAGGATCTTTCTTGTAGCGCATCTTATAAAAAATGCATTTTTAAGCAGATTTTGTTCTATGAACTAATTCGGTAAATCTAGCCATTTTTGATACACAGAGTGGGTCACTCAAAACAGTTTCATCCTGTTTTTCAGCATTAATCATTGGATTTTAAGAAAATGCTAAAACAGGTCGATTTTTATTCCAAATTAAAAACATTTTTACCATACAGACATCTGTCATGTGTCAACCCCCTCCCTTTCACTTCTCCAACACCTTAATTTTAAATAGATAATTTACCATGTATGGCACATCATTGAAAAGGTATTTTAATGGGGGATTCAGAAATATTTCTGTACATTGCGTTACTTAAATTTTATCGCCCTCTAGCGGAATAAAAAACTACTACGTATTATAGAGTGTGACACTACAATGTGTAGTACATCATTAAAAAGGTAATTTTATGGGGAATTTAGAAATATGACTGTTTTATTTCGATACTTTTAATTGTACCGCCCTCTACCGGGATAAAATAACTGAAAAGAACTTATAAAGGGTGACACCTTATTTGAAAGGAAATTTACTTACTAATTCAATGCACCACATAACATTAATTAAATATCCTCCATATTGCAACTTGCAATAGTTTGAAAATTAGTCATGCATTATTTTAAACATTATTGCTAACTTTATTTTGTTGCAAGTGCAATATTGAAATATTTATATTAATATTATGTGGTGCATTGAATTAGTAATTAAATTAGCTTTCAAATGAAGTGTCACACTTTATAATACGTTACAGGTTTTTATCCCGAGAGAGGGCGCTAAAATTAAAAGTATCACAATAAAAAGTCATATTTCTGACTTCCCCATAAAATTACCTTTTCAATGATGTTCCGTACATGGTACATTCCTTATTTAAAATTAAGGGGTTGATGAAGTGGAAGGGAGGGGGTTGACACATGACAGATGTCTGTATTGTAAAAATGTGTTCAATTTGAAATAAAAATCGACTTGTTTTATCATTTTTTAAAAATCCAATGATTAATGCCAAAAAACAGGATAAAACTATTTTGAGTGACTCACTCTGTATATCAAAAATGGCTAGATTTATGGAATTAGTTTATAGAACAAAATATGCTTAAAAATGCATTTTTTATAAGATGCGCTACATAAGAAAGATCCTCCCATCGAACAAAAAATATTGAGCGCTGCGCCATCTACATATTGACCTATGTAAAATGAATTTATATCTAAAACTGAAGCTCTTCTAGCGCTCTATGAACTGACTTTTACAGAATTTAAATATCTCCATTACTTACCAAAATATCCGGCCTGGGAGTTTTTATTGGTACACCCTGTATATAAAATTCAAATTTAAGTCTCCTGTACTTAAGTCGGCTCATATTCATTTCATTTAAAATCCTAGTATAATTGTGATCAGTTACCTGAATATTTAATTTGAAGGCACAGTATCTTAGAAATTTATTTTGTATTCTTTCCTCTGCTAGACAGTGTATATTATGATATTGTGGCGACCAAATTATAGAAGCATACTCCAACTGAGGTACAACCAATGTTTAATAAACTCTTTTTATGGATTCTAGAGAGAAATCAGAACAGTTACGCAATATTAACCCTAGGCATTGGGATGATTTTATTGAGATTGAATTTATGTGTTCAATAAATCTTAATTGTTCATCTAAAATAACTCCTAAATCTTTAACTGAGTTAACCCGAGATCACAGCTTATTCACTACCAGCTGGTCATCTCATCAGCGGCACCTTTGTACTGTGAAAGTTAGCAGTCCGTAGGTCGGTATTCGCGTGCTGTATAGTGGAATAGCGGGCGACCATACTAGCTACGATTCGCGTATCAGGCCCGTATTAAATTGTTTTAATGGTAATCAGAGTACAAAAACGATAACAATGACAAATGTATATTACAAAATATTTATTAAAAATGACTTGCACATTAGCTTACATAACTACTAAGAAAATAGTTACTGATTTTTCCAAATTATTAATTTTCCATTTCACTGGGCTACTTTAAAATTCCTATTGGCATATTTTAGCATATAATAAGTTTTGGCTTTTGCATATAAGTTCAGCAAGTACGTATGCGGAAAATTTGTATAGGGGTGAATAAATGTGACAGTTTTAAAAATATTAACAATTGTGGAAACTAAGTTATCCATAACAGTCAATTTCTGTTATAAAATTTGTATGTGGCACATAAAGGCTACCGTACTGATCCAAATCTGAGTGTTTGTACGCTTTATAAAAAGAAAATAATGACGTTTCACCCACTTATTACTATTTGCATATTTAACAATTTTTTTTTTCTAAAATATCTGATTTTCTATAATCAGTATCTACGATTACATTTTCAATAGATACTGCAGGTTCACACCGGTCTTCCACATTCTGTGGCATATCTGTCATCTGCAGTAAAACATGACTAGCATCGTCCTCGCAGTTTTCTGTATCTGAATGTAACAGATCTAAACAAAGTCATTTTCTGAACGCCCGTATAAACTGTATTGGGGGTTGTTTTTGCATTATTTTCACA